TGCTGCTCACGCTTGCGAACAGCCCGGATAAAAAGGGGCAAAGTGTAGGAGGAAAACGGGAGTGAGTGACACAGGCTAATCAGGATTTTAATCATGCTAATGGATGTGATTAACTGCATACTTGTCCCAGAAGCTCCTCGGAGTGGCCTGATAGCCAGCACGCAGCCAGGGCACGCTGCTCATCCCACCTTAATCCGCAGCTACACCGTGGCTGGCACGTCACCTGCCCGGGTACACCTGGGGCTGGACCCTGCTCCCACCCACACAGCCACTCTTCCACTGCCAACACTCCTTTTGGGCAGGGGACAGACTCCAGCACGGTGCTTGTCTGTGTTAAACTCCTTTTACAGGGGCAGTTCCAGCTCCAGGAGGCTGGAAATCCAACCTTGGCAAAGGAAAGCTAATCCAGGGCCTGTTGTGTTACACAAACCTCCCTCGATAACGCAACTACAACTCTTGTTTTTGTCTGCCAGTTTTGTTCAAATCACAGGGACACTGTGAGCTTTATCTCAGTGCTGGTATCTTGCTACTCCCTGGAGGAACTACCAATTCAGCAGCTGCCACTCTACCCGAGAAAAGTTCTAAGAGGCAGGGAGTAAAATAAAATAAGGCAAGGATTAAAAGAGCAGCAAGGAGCAGCCTTTTCTGAGAGCAAGGGAAGAAATCAGCCCCTTCCCTCCCTGTCTCCAGGGGAGCACAGAATAAATAACCCAGCACCGTCCCAGCTTCCAGCAGACATTTCCAGGGAACAATGTGCATTATGGAGGTGGAATACACCATCATTTACATGCACAGCCATTTTTATCCAGGGAGTTACCTACACTTCCCATTAACTCGGTGTCTCCTGTGTTTTCTACAGCAGCAACTGCAGAAAGTTTTGTTCTCCAGCATTCCAAAATATGGACTCTTATGGCAACATACAAAAATGAGTAATTTACTCAGAGGAGTCCAAGACTGATCTTGTTTGGGCCAAATCCTCAGCACTATCCCGACATAATTTTTAAGAGTGCTAGAGCATCACACCAATGTCTGCTCATAATCCTTCAGGGTCAGATTTCCCAATAATTTCAAATAAATTTAATATTTAATAATTTCTAACATAATATTAAGAACCCAGAGCAACACAGGGCACCAGTGTGAGCCACAAGTATTTCATTCTTCTCTCTACCAAGTTAAAATCTGCATAATGACATCTACAGCCACTGATTTCACTGACCTTTTCTTCCCACGAGAAATTCCTTCCCATGTGCGCAACACTAAGCCATGGAATGGCTTTCTGAGCTGTAGGAGGAGAAACCCCCCCTCAGGATGCAGGGGTCCTACCTGCTCTGCTAGCCCAGCTGCTCCACCATCTCCCAGGAACCTGCTCCAGAGGACATCCACCCTTTCTCCTGGAGATGAACCCTGTGGAGATGATGCAGCGCTGGCGGCTCCGGCTCAAGGCTCGAGCTCTCTGCCCCCTCCCATGTGCTGTAATCACAGACCCCTGGCTCCTCTGATCTACAGCTGACTATAATTTCATTTGCCTTCAAGGAGGAAAGAAAGAAAGCACAGAAATAATCAGTTCAATTGCTGTTAAAGCACAAGGAAGCTGTGGACACAGACATTTGACTAAGCAAGAGTTTCATCTGTGTCATTTGAGTCAGGAAGCACAAACACAGAGTTCCAGGAAATAACTCTGCCTTTCAGAGCACTATCAGCTTCTTCAATTTGCCTTTGAAACTGCACAGGTACCTACACAAATTATAATTTTGTTGTCTGCAATCTGACTCGCAACAACACGATGAGTAACACGCCTTGAACTCTTCTTTCTCAGCGGAGGAGGCTGGAATTTTATCTTCCAATCTATGTCTGGCCTAGCAAAATAAATTATTTGGGGTTTTTCTGGACCAAACCAAGCTATAGTCACACATTATTTCGCTTTCAAGTAACCATCACTTTCATTTGAATTGCAAGTAGCTTGAATTCATCCTGACAGACCTAAACCCTGTCCGACCAGTGGTTTCCCTGAGTCATAAGTTTGGTGCAGGTCAGAATTTGGAAGCTTCCACATCAAGACACGGTGCAGAGAGACAAATGCAGTCCAAGAACTGAGTGGTGGAGACATCACTGGTTCAGCAAAGAGCAGGTGAGTTTAAGCCTGAGGTACACAAGAGCAAGAACATGCAGTGGGTGTAAACCAGACCTGAACTCTGCCAGAACTCAGAGCTGACTGAATGGCTCAGATTCATTTATTTCTAGGGAAGACAGGCAACCACTAAAATACTACAGGGGCTGGGACCTCAAATATAATTACAGCTCCATTGGCTGAAATTACAGCTGTGTCAGCCCTTTTACCAGCAGGAATACGTAATTCATCTGGTTCAACTGAGCACTCCTCAGACTGCACATAACGAGCTTAAGGCTGGAAATCCAGTCCTGCCCCAGCCTCACCTTCTGCCCCTCCAAAAGCCCAACTTGCTTCTGTTCTCACTGTTGCTCAGGCTGCTGGAGGCGTGGGGGTGTTTGATATCATCACAGTCTGGGCAAACCTCTGCTCTTTCAAACCTTGACAAACTGCCTGGTGTCTCTGGGAGGGAGCAGACGGGTGCACAGAACCCAAAGAGTTCAGAATTAGTACTGCCACCTGTAAATGACACTCAGCAGAGTAAGCCCAGGCTGGTTCCAGCAGTGCTGGGAGGCTCTGCTGTGATTATTCACCCCCTGGCCACTCCAGGGCTCACCCAAACAGGGCTGTGCTCATCACTTACCGCAGCACTCACAGCCTTCAAAGCTCCCCACAGCCAAATCAGGCAGCTTGTTAGAGCAGATCTCCAATCTGCTGCAGCTGGCAGAGAGGGGCCCTGGTGTCCCACGGTGTCCCCACTCCTGGGAGCCTGCCTGGCATCAGCGGCCAGCACAGGACGGTGCCTGGCACAGCCCAGCCTTTGGAGGAACAAGCTGATAAAGTCAGGATCTGCTGCCATAAGTGTCCTCCAGCAGCCTGCCCGTTTGTTCTTTAAGGCCAGGAGTGACATAATCCTCTCCTAATATCAGCTGAGGGCTGGGGGGGGAACCAGGGTGACCCACAAACTGTACCCATGGCAACACTGGGCTCTAGCTGAACTCCCCAGGCTGGCATCTTCAAACCACTGACACTTCTTTGTATTATCTGATCTTTCCCTGATGTCATTTCTGCAGAGACACATAAAAACAGATTTAATAATATCCACGGCCTTCAGCTTCAGAGTCAACAATCACAGTCACAAACAGATCAGCTATTCTGCTTCAAGCTTATTATTTGTCACTAACATGTAATTATTACCAAACAAAACAAAAGACACAGGATATTGCTGCTGTTGCAACAGCAAGTAAGTTAAGCTCTTTTTCAAACTGAAAAAGCCCATCTCTTCTGATGCAAGAAGGCACAAAAGAAAAAAAATTAAAAACTTCAGAAGAGCCTGTGAATCCTGCAAAATGCATTTGGAAGGATAATCAGAAATGTCACTGCTTCTTGCAAAGAAAAACAAACAAAAACCCCTAAAGTAAATTGGACAGCCAGGTCTGTCCAGCCAATGTCACCTTTGTCATAACTGTACTGTCAACCTGAAAATTTTTGAGTTACAATTTCTCTTTCTCAAATAAAGGAGGAGTTAATTAAGCTGCAACAGTATAGATACAATACTAGCAAAAAACACCAGATGGGACACCAGGCCCTGGCAAGGAGAAAAGAAGCTTTAGAGTTGTAAAACTCCAGTGCAGTCCTGTCCCTTCAGTTTACAAAATGAAGCTAGAGCAGCATCACATGCAGAGCAGGAGGAGGCCCCGAGCAAGGCTTGTTACTCCACACTGAAACTCTGAGCAGGACTAGGATGGCTCTTGTATTATTCAAGAAGCCTTCCAGCTGGAATTGTAAACTGGGAAGAACGTGATTCACTGACCAGATGATTCCAGCTTTAAAAACAAATGAAATCGTTTTTTAAAACTCTAAAATCAATGGGTTAATCTGCTAAATCCATACAGGAATCAGGGGAAGGAAATAAGTGAGGGAACAACCAAGGAGAGATCAAGAACCACCTAAAGAAAAGAGAACTAAACCTCTACGTTCAGGTTCAGTATGTTCACAGAGCAGGCTTTTAACACACCCCTCGAAGAGAGGCAGAGCCTACAACACTCATACTACCAGGATACACTCAGAAGCAGCTTTTGGCAGCAGAACAGCATCTGCAGAACCCAAAACTTCACCGCCGTCACCTTAAACTTATTAACAGCAGCCCCGCATCGCGCCGTGGCGAGCATTTGTTTAATTCCCGTCCCGCCAGCCCGGCTCTGCAGCAGAAGTTTGCTCATCCCGAAAGCGGGCCCGCTCCGCTTGCGGCCGGGCTGCGCTGCGATGACTGAGCAGAGGCCTGGCCGCAGCCCTGCGCATCCCGGCCCGCCACACCCAGCGCCGCGAGCCGCGCTCTGCCCATGCTCATCCTCAGCCCGCGTCCCGCTGCGAGCCCGCCGCCCTCCTTATAAAGCCGGGAACGAGGGACCCGGCGGCGGCCAGCGGGGAAGGACGGCGGCGAACGCGGCACGCAAAGTTTCCAGCCGTCCCGAGGAGAACTGCGGAACCGCTGCGTCGCCCTTGAGCGAAACCCGCGGCTCGGTGTGCCCGGGACAGCCGGGCCCGAAGGGACCCTGCGGGGGCAAGGCCGGGGAACGCCCGGGGCCCCCCCGACCCCCGGACCCAGCCCGGCCCCTGCCCCCGAGCAACAAAGCCGCGCCCCGGCAGCGCCCGCTCCCTCCGCCGGCTCCCCCGGGAGATGCTCGGGGATGCTGCGGGCGCTCCCTGCGCGGCTCCCAAGCCCCGCAGCCCCGGACACCTCCCGGCCCGGCCCGGCCGGCCCCGACCCCCGGCAAGGCCGGAGCCCCCGCTCGGCCCGGGCCGCCCCTCCGCCGCGTCGGAGGGCGCCGCGCCCGCAGCGCGGTGTCCTCGCGCCCCGTCCCCGGCCGCAGCCCCCTCCCCGCGGCCTTACCGAGCGGCGGGGGCGCGGGGCAGCGCCGGGACGGAGGCGCCTGGCGAGTGTCGCTGTCCCCTGCGGGCCCGGCGGGAGGAGGAGCGGGGAGCGGAGCCGCGCTGGCCGCGCGCCGAGCGCACTACCCTGCTGGCTGGGGGGGCGGGGCTCGAGCCGTCTGACCAATCAGCGCCGCGCCGCGCCCGGCACCGACCAATCAGCGCGAGCGCGGGCGGCGCGCGGCCGCGCGGGGCGGAGGCGGCGTTGCGGTGAACGGGCAGAGCGGTTGGGTGCGGCGCGGGGCGGGGCTGGAGGCGGGGCCAGTGGGGGAGGTGGGGCCAGGGGGCGGTGGTGGAGCACGGGGTGGGGCTGAGGGGAGACAGGATCTGAGGGGAGACAGGATCTGAGGGGACACGGCTGAGGGGAGACAGGAGCTGAGGGGAGACAGGATCTGAGGGGAGACAGGATCTGAGAGGACACGGCTGAGGGAAGAGAGGAACTGAGGGGATGGGGCTGAGGGGACATGGCTGAGAGGAGACAGGAGCTGAGGGGACGCGGCTGAGGAGAGAGAGGAACTGAGGGGATGGGGGCTGAGGGGGACATGGCTGAGAGGGGCTGAAGGGACAATGCTAAGGTACCTTCCTTCAGTTAGCCATTCCCTGTGTCCTGTGCCTCCATGCCTTGTCCCCAGTCCCTCTCCAGCTCTCCTGGAGCCCCTTCAGGCCCTGGAACTCTCGACCCCTGAGCATCCCTCTTGTCACTGCTCTGTACTCGGACACCGAGCCAGTGACCACAACTGAGTGTGACCATCCAGCCCCTTCCTCATCCACCAAGTGCTCCATCCAGGAAATCCCTGTCCCTCCCCTTTGGTGTGGGACAGTGTGGAACACTGTGCGCAAGTCCAGGTGGGTGACACCGGTCACTGTTCCCTCACCCACCACCACTGTCAGCTCATCCATCGCTGTTCCCTCACCCACCACCACTGTCAGCTCATCCATCGCTGTTCCCTCACCCACCACCACTGTCAGCTCCATGTTTGCCCTCAGTGTAACCATTTCCCGTGGCTGAAACTCCCGGGGACGAGCGGGAGGTGACACTGGGTTGGTGCAGTGACAGCAAGCACGCAGGAGGAACATCCAGCCTCACTTCAGGGAGAGACCATTACCGCGTGCTTTGGGAGTTAAGCCGGGCAGAAGGGAGGGACACTGTCCCCTGTCTGTTGACAGCCAGGCTCCTGCATGTCCCCGAGGGCTCTGTGTCACCCATCTGCCCAGAGGGAGCTGCAGAGCTACTAAATCATGAAAATATGGGACACGCTGGCCTGCCAGATAAGCAAATCAAAGCACGGTGACTAAATTAAAACAAAAATAGGTGTGTCTCATGTCTGGTCACTGGAGGGAGGAAACACCCTCGGCATGAGGTGTGGGAGGGGGCACACCCCGTCCAGGCAGGGTTCAGCTGCACCCTCTGCCCACCCCTCTCCCAGCCTCCCAAGCCCGGGTACCTTTCCAGGGCCGGAGCCCGTGAGGGGAAATCCCGTGTCCTGATGAAAGGCAGATCCATAACAACTGCTTGTACCATGTGCTATTTTTAAACTGAGATAAAATAGCACCCTGATGGCTCTCTTTGGGAGGGTCGGGCAGCAGTTTGAATTTCAGGGCTGTCCCAGCCTACCCTGATCATCAGACACTTAAAGATCCCTCTCTCCTTAGGAAACCCACCTCTGGAGCCTTTCTGCTGCCTGTCTCTGAGACAGGGTGCACCCTGACCCTGGAGCAGGACAGTGCTCCCTGTGTCTGTGGAACAGACTCAGTAACACAACAAAAAGCAGGGGTTACAACACAATAATACAACTGGGTTACATCAGTGCATGTCCAACCACTGGGCTGACTGCTTTTGGCTTCTAAAAGAGCTTCTGGGTCATTCCTTCTAAATTCTGAGCCTAGAATTTATTCCCCAAAAAGAAAAACCTGAGAGCCCAAAGCCAGGCCTTGACTGCACAGTGATCACACAGGAGCAAACTTTTGGTGGATTAAGGACACCATGTACCCAGGCTTCTCCCTGTCACACGACAGCTCTGACACCTCACCCAAATCCCAGCCAGGTACACCTGAAATCAGAAAGCAGAGCAGGTAGAGCCCTGTAAAGCCACAGGTGTGTCCATTGTAAAGTACAGACTGCAGCAGGCAACTGTCCACTGTAATCCAGGTATCCCTATGGAATTGCACAAGGGCTTCTGACCTCCCAAAGCCTGGCTGTGTGACCCTGGGCTCCCTGCAGCCCCACAGCTTTGGGATTTCCTTCCATGAAACCAAGGAAATCACAGAATAGCTGGGATGGATGGATGGATGGGGAAGGAAGGAAGGAAGGAAGGAAGGAAGGAAGGAAGGAAGGAAGGAAGGAAGGAAGGAAGGAAGGAAGGAAGGAAGGACGGACTTCCTTGGTTTAGTTTAAAACCTGATGTCTATTCTCTGCTTCCTGGGAGCAACCTCAGGCCACACTACCTTTGTTGCCTCCCCACATACTTCCCCTGTGAAAAAATTCAAAGCATCTCCTTTATCTCTGTTTGTCCCTCTGAAGAAAATAACCTGTTTTCTCTCCACTTGCTTTTCCAGACTCCAAGTCCTCCCCATCTCCATGTGGCCTGGAAGGGAGGGCAGCAGGAACCAATGTCCTTGGTGTAAGGCAGACAAGATCTGTGAGACGCCACAGGTGTGTCTGTCCTTGTCCCAGCAGGGGGGGATTTTGTTTGGTAGGGTTGGTGGCAGGAGAGAAGGTGTTTAGGCAATGGCTCTGCCCTTTCATCAGGCCAGACAGGGAAAGTGGCTGTGGAAAAGGGAAAGGGCCCAGCTCATCTCCCTAAGGAGTCACTCCTGGCCAGCCTCACTAGCCCAGCAGGGCAGGTAGAGCTGCCAGCACCGGGGCTGCTCTCAGCGTGGGCCTGGCCCGTGCTGGGTGAGTCCCCTGTGGGCACCGGCAGAGCTGGAAAGGGAAAGCTCGGTCTGGGGAACACTCATGTGTCATTGCTTTGATGGGAGCCAGTGCAAATGAAGGACGCTGGGTGACACAGGCCATCCCAGGGCACTGACAGGACAAGTGTTGGAGATAAGCGTAATGAACCGGGCAGCTTTCCTGCCCGTTTGGCAAGAGATCGTCATTCCCTGCTCAAAGCAGGGATGTGGGTGCCCACAGGGGCAGCGCTGCGGGGTCTGCCCAGGCTCCGGGGTCTGCCCAGGCTCCAGGGTCTGTTCAAGCTCTGGGGTCTGTCTGGGCTCCAGGGTCTGTCTGAACTCCGGGGTCTGTCCAAGCTCTGGGGTCTGTCCAGGCTCCGGGATCTGTCTGAGCTCCAGTGTCTGTCCGGACTCTGGGGTCTGTCTGAGCTTCAGGGTCTCCCTGGGCTCTGGGGTATGTCCGAGCTCTGGGGTCTGTCTGAGCTCCAGTGTCTGTCCGGACTCTGGGGGTCTGTCTGAGCTCCAGGGTTGTCCAGGCTCTGGGGTCTATCCGGGTTCCTGGGTCTGTCTGAACTCCAGGGTCTGTCCAAGCTCTGGGGTCTGACCAGGTTCCGGGGTCTGTCCAGGCTCCAGGGTCTGTCTGGGCTCCAGGGTCTGTCTGAACTCTGGGGTCTGTCCAGGCTCCAGGGAAGTGGCACTGCCAGGGCTGAGCTGTCACTCCTCACATCCCTCACTCATCCCGGACAGGCAGCAGAGCCAGTGCAGGGGTCATGTCCAAAAAGGAGCACCCAGCAGTGCCGTCAGTAAGTAATGAACCCGAACTGTAACGAGGAGAAAAACTCATGAAGCAGATCCGGAAAGGGTTTGAGTGGAATTGCCTCCACACTTGGAGCAGCACCCACAGACTCCCATCTTCAGGAAATTTTGTCTCATTCACTTTTGAAAGTGAATGCCTGTAAGCAGCTTGGAGAATTTGAATACTCTTACAAAACAAATGTCTCATCACTGCCCTATCACGGATCAGGGCTGCAAGGAGAAGGTAACTACTCAATGAGGCAGGACGCTGCTCTGGAGACAACAAAAGCATTGTGGGTCACTGGCAGACATTTGCCAGCCAGACAGGGCTGTTCTGCTCATCAAAGCTGACTCCGGCACAATGGAAGGCATGGAATTTCGGCCAGGGATCCCTGCCATCCCAGAGACCTGTCAAGGCTCTCTGACTGGTCATGGGATTTGCCTTGCAGCTGGCACACCCCCTGATCTCCTGATCTGGGATCTCTCTGTCAGCTGTAACCTGGTGTGGGGCCACAGAGGAAGAGGAGGAGGAAGGTGGCTGGGGGCTACGCTGAGGCTGGGGCAGTGACTTCCACTGCCAAGAGCTCTGTGGTCCCAGAAAACACAGCTCCTGCTGCTGTCCTGCACCACAGGTCCTGCTGTGGGTGACCTGGGACACTTCCCACACACAGCTCAGGAACAGGAGCTTGGCATTTCACATGTGGGAAGAGGAGAACCTGCAGAGGCTTGTCAGGATGCAGGAGCTGATATTTGCATTGCTCTTTCTCCAAGCAGAGTCCTGGGAAGCACGGGGCAGCCTGGCCTTCTGGAGGGCTTCATCCTGCTCCTCTGGAGAGGGCTGTTAGTATCAGAGCTGATCTCTTCTCTAGCCTGGGTCTTCGTAAACCAAGGCAAATTATTCTGAGGCAGAAAAATCTGTGCTGTAATGACAGAATGAAATGTCCTCAAGAGCTTGCGCGTAGCCTTAAGTTACCTTTTATAAATAGGTTAACAGCTGGAGGGCCCGTGGTTGTTTAAAGGGAAAAGACATACAGGACATGCCCTATATGATATGTTCCATCCTAAGCAATTCTGCCACTCTGCTGATTTATATCTGCAGATTAAAGGATTTGCCTTTCAATCAAATTATTCTCCTCAACTCCCAAGTGGGGGACAGAGGGGATTGTGACATTCCCCACTCAGTGCAGCTCTCCCTGGTGCAGCCATGGATGTTTTCTTCCTTGCTGTGCAAAACACGCAGCTCCCAAATTACTCCTATCACTTGGATGGTGATTTGCTATTTCTGTCCTGCTTCTGGTGCACAGGACACTTGGGGGACAGGAGAGGGTGAGAGGTCTTTGGGCCCTGAGGAGCTCCCAGCCCGAACTAGACAGAGCATGTAACCAGGACTGACAAAAGCTGC